CTACTGCGACCTATCAGATAATGAAAGCGATGATTTGATTTGCAATAATTCGCTATGTCACGACGAGTCCTACATGTAAATAGCGAACCACTCATCGAAAATCATGAAACTATATGTACATATTATATGCTCATGTTTTGTTGGCGAGGACGCTCGTTTTATTCAAATTATTTTCGATAATGTTCATCTGCTTCACTAGAAATTATTATTAGTAGTTATGTAGTACTTAGTAGTATAGTAGTAGCAGCTTATTTGTTATTCAAAATGGAACACCTAATATTTTATTACATTTTTCGATTCTTCTAATTGAGCTATGATTTCGTTGATCAAGCTCAAGGTATACCTATACGTAGAATGTGAAAAATCGAGATTTTTTTTGTATCGAAACTATACAATACCTATATTGATTTGTCAAAATGGCTTACATGTGTCCCTATCCTAACATTCTATTTACTATCTACTGATGCCATTTAATTGAAACAAATACAGGGTGGATCAGATTTCAGAATTATATAAAAAATCACACTCTAATATTCAACATAAAATAAAATTCAATCCCACTGGATGTATTTAAAAATATAAACAGTGTGCATGTCACTTATTCTATAATGGAATATCAACCCGTATATCTAACGTAACTGTTCAATTTTAAGGAGCGATAGATATATATACCAACTATGACCAAAGTGAGGTAATCTCTCGGGTAATCTTCAGTGAAAAACACTGCTTTGGTCATGGACCCACCAACATTTCCGGAAAATGATATTAGGAGGCAAGATATATAGGTTGAAAATCACTTCGGATTCGAAATCAGGACGTAACCCTGTACCTCGAAAACGAAGCAAGGTTAGGACACATGTTTATATGACCTTTATTCATCATATTATATCACAAGGAATCATCCCTTGAATTATTTCGGTGTTATTTAGATACACCCTGTATAGATCATTCTTCATCCCAATATTGTTATTCAACATTTTTCCCATAGCAAAGTTCAGCAAATACCGATGGCGAGAGCACTATGTTTATTGATTTGATGTCTACCTATAATATAATATGTAAAACAAGAAGGCACAACTACTAGTGTTCCGTTTCGAAGTAAATTAAATTGACAAATTTGACTCCAAAATAATTCAGGCACGCGCCAATATTCATAACGTACCTAGTTACTGCTGCCCGTTTACGTTTCCCACCGCTTAGGGAACGATCGGGCGTGTTCGGTGAACACACGGGTATGATCTCGAGACTCTAGTCTGGAACCACATACCCCAGGTATTTACACCTTGCAATAGACATTTAGATAAACATCACCAGTTAAGGCCCATACAAAAATAGAATATCTGCGTATTCCTCATTAGTGAGATGAAACGGCATCATAAAAACACTCTCAGAACTATAGTTTGATCCTAAAAACACTGGAATAATGAATGAACACCAATAAAACAACCGCTGATGACAGGTAAACAATGGTTTTCCATAATGAAATTCTGAATTTAACAACAAGCCTAGTATTCTTTATACACAAACATTATAAGGTACTGATACGGATTTATTATTTGAAAGTTCAGTCCGATCATTTTTCAACAAGTTTTTAACTTTTCTCAGTGCATTTCGAATCTGCGATCAGATCATTGTTATACTAGATCATCTATTCTTACAGGAATATAATCATAGACAACCTCATTCCAATCCTGATACGAATTTATTTTTCAATTTTTTCGGGTCATGAGAGTAATTTATTTCACTACGATTCACGAACTGATTGAAGAAAATAACTATATTCATGCCATGGTTTCGTTACTATTTATTTCATTACCAATTTTGATGATACTTTATCCGACAATAATTGATTTTTGAATGAAAAAAATTAAAATGATAATCAATTACGAAATAACTAAGATAGTGCCAGGAGATTTTTCAACAAATTCCTATACAATTTTCACCGTAGATTTCGAATCTGAGGTGAAATTTTTGGTTACTATTATACAGGGTGAGTTATTCTAACAATAACTCAACATAAGGGAAAAATATTATCACGGTCCTGATATTGGTTTCGATCAAAGGGCTACTTGTTGATGCTTTTCAGTGTAATGCGTGTACCAAATTTGAATCTGATCGGTTAATCCCTGTATTTGATATGGCGGATTGAATATTTTGTCAAAATCCACAAATCACTCTGTATCTCAGTAACGAAGCGGTTTTGGACATTCGTTTATGGCATTCTGCAATCATATCGAAATTCCCTATAACCCCATGAGTTTTGTCGGTTTTATCTCCGGAACAGATACGATTTCACCCAAGAATATAATCAAAAAATGCAGGTAAGGCTACGAATAATTTATTGCCGGAAAAATACAGACTATCGTGTATATACGACAAGGATTATGAAATATATAATCAATGGAAATAGTATATTCTTCAACGAGCGTATGATGATAGCTATTATTCCCGAGGATATGATTCCGAAACGAGCCGTAGGCGAGTTTCGGAATTATCCGAGAGAATAATAGCTATTATACGCGAGTAGAAGACTATACTTTCTCTACGACTATACGATAGTCAGAAATTTTATGTAATCTAATTATTATTCATGGAAATGATATACTTGATGTATGAATTTCAATGATATGATAATACAATTGACAGGAATCTTCAATATTCAACGAACTCAATGATGAAACAACACAATAATTATTAGGTTAGTAAATTATGTTTCTCGTACTTAGTGACTAAATTCTTTGTGATATTCTCACAATTCGTGAAATTTTACTATTGATGGTGTTGAATTTAAATCAACACTGACATGTTTATTCATATTGCTAGTTGATGTTTTTTGTGTGAAGGAACTGTTATTTGATGATGATGAACATTGTTCGATTCATTGAAGAATTCGAATCTGCTGTTTTTTTTATTAAACATGGAATCTTCTAGAAATCCTTCTGCCACCGATGTGCTCTTCCATCAGCCACCATGTCTTTTCAATGCTGTTATACCTCCACCTGCATTGACAAGCAAAGCAATGCCCGGTGTACATCTCGGGATTTGGTAGCTTCAAAAATGTATAGTTCATCCAAAAATAATTGCAGAATCTCGTGCCGCACCTGCAGTCACTTCAAAGGAAACTTCAAACACGCCGACGCCGCACAGTGCAGGATATTCTGCAATTGATATTGGATATACTTTAACTATTTGTTTTCCGATTGCTGCAAACTTATTAATTCCAATTTTCTTGGTGATTCATAAAAAAATTGGAAATCCCAACATTTGCTGCTCGTATATCAATGTACTTTTTTTTTTAAATTTCCCGGTTACAGTGAACCTCCTTACAATTTTTGTTTTGGTCTCAGGAATAGTTATCATCCATGGAGATCCAAGATCTTGAATATCTTCAATATTCATAGAGTACATTTCTATGGAACGGCAAGCCTCCATTATATCCTCCAGATATCAAAGTTAAAACTTAAAAGACTCTATAAGTCAATCTGACATTCGCGAAAGTCAAGCCGTGACGTGACCCGTAAAATGAAGCAGAGCCTTCATGAGGAATTCGTTTTGTAGATTTGCTGGTTTTTCATTAGCCTAACCTTTTCAGTTGCTGTGGATCCTGAAAATTCTGAATCTGTGATTGGTCGAGTACCGTTGAATAATGAGTTGGGATCCACGGTATCTTGGAATCATCTTCATTCATCAATTACTAACCTGAATGTAATCAATGTAGAATACGATAGTCGTAGAGAAATGAAATTATTGCCATAGATGAGACCGTGTTATGCCGCGGAGCGGCTAGTGCGTAATTCCATGAGTGCGTAATTGCTTTACAACACTCATTACTTACTATACTTCACCTTCACTGATAAGTGAGCTATAGAAGACGGGAGGTGAGCTACAGGACCCTGTATTATCGCTCGTGGGGCATACAAGATTTTTTTCTTCTTCTCATGGTAGGCATGGCATTTGTTGATATTTTGACGTTTGTTGAATATTGCTGTCATCATTAGATTTGGTGAATGTCATTGCTGCTTTCTCTCTGTAGTCTTATAGAAATAATGGAAATAAATACGAATTTACCGAAGAATATCATAAGAATTGCAGACAAGGGTTCGATTAATTTATTGCCGAAAAAATACAGACTATCGTTTATATACGACAAGGATTATGAAATATTAAATCAATGGACGTTAAAAAAATGAAATTACGTACTATACTTCACCTACTGCCATATGGTACATCAAAAAAGTTTGGACACACAGTCTGAATTGTAATTATTGACAGTTATGTCATCCGCTGTTGACGGCGATTACGCGATGATAGACATACCTATACTGGCAGAATAAACGAAAACTGTGCGATGTGCTTACTGTGCGTGAAGAGAAACTGACTGAGGCTGTATCTCATGTGTTCTTGCCTACCTTCTATAGTTGCTCTAGGTATATACAATATACGGCTATAAACTCAGACATGACAATAATAGACAAATTTGAATAAAAAAAGTGGTTGCCACGTATAGATACTATATATACTAAGAAAAATTTAGGTAGCTGTCTAAGCGACTAGTTAGGATCGTTTGGCGTCCGAAATCGTAGAATTCTTGCAGCTCACTAATGTTGAAGTCGCCAATGATAATTGCCTTGTTCAGTTCGATTGAGTATTCTAGGAATCTAGGATATATTGATAAATGACAATACCTGATCAACCCAATAACAGGCTTCTAAAAGATTATTGTATATGTGTAAAGTTTATGCAAAGTCAGTTGGGACAGATCATCAAAGGAATTTCGGTGCGTACTGCCGCTCTCTTTGAACATTCAAATGGACCGACGACCCGCGGTTTGATGTGTTGTTCCAACTGACTTTGCATAGCCTGTACATATTGTTTATCCAATCGTTACATATGTATAGGGAATTTCAGAAGTTTGGGTCGTTGCCCGTGAAACCGGAAGAGATAGAACAAACATTGTTTTGTCAATTAACGAACAATTTGGAATAGTTGCTACCCACCAATTTTCGAAAGCCAATCTCTGTATTTGTTTCTTCAATAAAAACGAAGTGTTTACTAAATAAATAATTTATTTGTGATTTCTTCCAACTAGAAATGTCAGAGAATCAATTAATTTTTTCAAATTTCAAATATATACGTTGTTTAATCTTGAGGAGGAAGGTACCAGGATGGATATCCAGTGGTTTTTCAGTGAGTGGACTTGGAGTAACTTTGTAGTTCTTCAAGATAGTTGCCAAACCTAGTCTGACCTGCATAAAGGCGAAACGCATACCTGCAAAAAAAAAATGTTATCAGTATCCAAGCAAAATTCGAACTCTCATGGAATAAACCATTCTGAATTGATTGAATAGCAATAACTGTTTTTTCAAAGAGTCGAACTCGAATTTATTGGAAGGCAAATATTTCAAAGCTACTACTCGACTCGATCTACTCACCAATACAATGTCTCGGACCATCTCCGAACGGGAAATACGCAGGGAATTTTTCATTTCTATCCTCGAACCGATCTGGATTCCATTTCAACGGGTCTGGATAATAGTATTCATCTAGATGGAGTCCCAGAACTGGGATCATCACTTTTGTTCCCTTTTCAATGGTTAAGTCAGTACCTGGAAACTTGTAATCCTTGACGCACAGCCTTGGGATGGTTGGTACTGGAGGCCATAGCCTTAGAGTTTCTGAAAGTATTGAAAAAAAGAGGATAACAATGACTTCAGTTATAGTCATGGCGGAAATATAGCATGCTGTGCGAGTATACAGTGTGTCCCGCTTCACATGAATACACCCTGATATTTCTTTTATTATCTATATTGGTGACTTTTACTACATTAATGAATATGGAATCATCTCGACAGTTTTCAGTTGGACCGATTCAACTATTGAGATAGGTATATTTACTGATGGCGACTGAACTGAATCCAATTTCGATGAATCTGAAATCTGTCTACCTTTCTGTTATGCTCAAAATTATGAAAATATCATCTCGAAATAATTAAACTGAAGGTTATAATAAATGAATAGGTATCTGTTTTTACCATCGATTGCTTGACCAAGGTATTTCATTCCCATTAGTGCTTCATACGGCATATCACCGTTATTCTTCTCGAAGGTGCTTGTTATTTCTTCTCTTAGTCTATCCTGAGCCTCTTGATTCTCAGCCAGCTCGAACAATGTCATTGTTGTGGTGGTAGCAGAAGTTTCGAATCCGGCAGTGAAAAATGAGAATGTCTGAAAATGAAAAGATGGTACTAGAGATTTAAAAAAAGAGGCATCGCTCAATGGGAAATTCCTTGGCCGGAAATAGGACAAAAAGGTTATACAGAGGGGTCCACATTTATTTCACATGAATTTTTTTTTTCAATGAAAATCACTTCAGGAATGCCCCTTGAATGAAGAACAGGACGTTGAAGTTCAAATTTTTATATATTTTACCTATTCCACTGGACCAACATGTATGTTTTCGTTCTTCTAGATTCTAATTGATATTCTTTCTATTTCAACCAATTTTATACATTATATATTATCTATACTTCACAATTCTATATGTATCATCTATACATAACAACTTTCTATTCAGGTTGACTCTAAAATGTGTACCGAGGTTTCTGGAGGTGATAGTACATTGAAAAATAAGTATATTGATGATTAAACTGAACTAAAATGTATAAAAAGGGAGATATATCCTTCAAAATTTGATCAAATCGGAATATTTTCTCTGCATAACTCCTAAACGATAAAACCAGATTTAAATTTCCTGCATGCATGAATGTCTGTTGATGAGATGAATTCTTCTGGTACACTTTCACATTCCTGATCTTTTCATAGACAATTTTTATCCTTGTTTTCTTTTTGGTGAAAGAACAGGAGCATTTGATAAATCGAAAAAAAAAAATACAGAAAAAATGTTCTCTTATCAGAATACAAAATGAAAACGTAACCGTTTTCTAGATATTTGAGTTTTTGTAGTGAAAATGGAATTCGCTTTTAGTTAAACATGTCTTGGTGTCTATTTGTAATCAAAACTTGCTAGCTAGATTTGACCCCCTTTCAATCGTCCGATGGATTTGAAATTTGGCAAGTGAATAATGAATTCCGGTGACAATTGGTTGTGACATTATTATTAAATGATAAAAACGGAATGGCAGATCCAGTATGGTGCACGATATTTGTGATTATGGTCGTAGTCGAATCAAAATTGGGATCTAGGGGTTCTTGAGGTTGGAAAATTCGAGTTTTTGTGAAGCTATGCTATGGATCGCGAGCATGATTTTTTCATGAGAGAGTATTGCTAATGGTGATACCGAGCATAGATACAGTGGTCTTGGTGGAAATGAAGGTACCAGACATTGTTATATCAGGCATTCTATGAGTTCCGCCTTTCTAGAGAAATTACTTTCGCTTCGAACAAAATAATTAAACCAAACCAAGGCACCTGAGATCGAGCATTAAGCGACAAGGTTGAATCAATCAAATTATTCGTGAAAACTTACCTGGCCGATAATTTCGTCCATAGTTACTTGTACTCCAGAGTTTTTCAGTTGGATTAACAAATCTAAAAAGTCTTTCCTGACCACATTATTTTTTTCTCTGTACTCCACCGTTTCTTTGATAATTTTACTGTAATTCTTCGAAACCTCCGGTTGTACATTGGAAAATCTCAGTGTTTCTGCCAAATTGGGGAAATTTATCGTTACGAATAAACGCAACTTGTCTATCGTAGAAAACTCCTCGAAAAAGTGTCTTCCGAGTCTTCGGAATTCCGCATTTGGATTCTTGAAAGAATTGCATTCCACACCTAAGATCGTCGAACCTGAAATAGTATATTATGGACATTGAGTGAGGAGTGAGCTTTATATTATATATAGCAAGCACTTTTATATTATGTGTGAGCATTGAATATGGAAGAAGTACCAATGATATCGACATGTGTAATGTGACGATGCTAATACTTCAATTCAAACAGGAAAAATTATCTTGTTCATTTGTTTTCTCCATCATATCAGAATCTACTACCTACTTTCGGAGCAAAATTTTGAATTTTTGAAAATAAAAAAATCTAATACACTGATACGCTATATGGGGCGCTGTTTGGTTCATAAATATTTTTTCGCTATATATTTTTTTTAACGTAATATATAGAAAATATCCTATATAATATACGAAATAATCAATATTTTATGCAAAATTTCTTATTTCGTGTGATAACTCTTCTATATATATTAAAGTGCGACGAAATTTAGATAACTGTTTGCCTCGCGCCGTTTGGTTCATGATTATTATTTGTAATGTATAAAATATTTACTGCATTTATATAGAAAGAAGTCTATATCAGATGCACAGATTATTTATATGTCGAAATCTTTTTACATTTGCGTTTCAAGAAAGTTCATATCATACCGGTGCAATATATAAGGAAAAACATGAATTCCGATGTTTAATTCTGGAAGCGATTTTCTTTGAAACGTGGACAAAAACACCAATTTCTTGTCATTTCTACTCCTGATTCATTGCTGGAATAGGTTTTCAATTCCATAAATACTAAAAATTTACTCAATGAAGGTTCCCATGAAAATATGAGAATTTAGGATTTTTCTCTAGGAATTCTTTGAGATATAATTCAACTTATGGAAAGCAGATGTCAAATCCTGTTATTGATAATATGTTGACACTGCATCAGATCAATTTTCCTTTTTCCACAATTAGTATGATCGAAATCTCTTTCTTCACAATGTCTAAACATATCATAAATATTACGAGGTTTAGATTGTCATTTAGAAGGTCTTTCTATAGCCATCACATGGAGATTTTCACAAAACGGTCCTGATTCACTGAAGGTTTGATAATTGACATGTTATTCACCAGCGATATGTGATTCCATGGATATTTCTCTCCATATTCCACTGTGTTTGGCTCGGTAATCGAATGAAGTTAAACAATATCGTTGTGTGAGACAAAAAATTATTTCTGGCCATGATTATTCAAAAACGAGTCATCAAATTAATCCCGTATGAACTACAGATCGAGCAAGAATGTGAATGTTGAAGGCTTTCCTGATCAAATAAAAAATACTAAAATACCTAAATGATGTACCTATTTATATCTCAAGAGCATGAGTATGGAATGCCAAATCTGCCGAAATCGGAAACAAATCAGGTATGCGTCCCAACCGATATAACCAACCATGACAATGTTTTTTATTCTTGATGAAAATCACATTACATCCTTTTTAGTTCCTTGGAGCTGATGTTGATCTATAGCTCCTAGGAACTGAATTGCCTAGCTACATACCTATGTTTGTGTCAGTAATAGGAACGTCAATTCTAGAGCTAATTTTGGTATCAACATGGACGACATTTGTGTAGGTTGCAGAAGAACATGTTTTTTTGCAAATAAGTTGAGAACTAATTTCCAATTTACTCTGGGTTATAGTCCTGTGGTGTATGTGCATTCATGGATTTGCTCTGGTTCATCAACTTACCAACTGCATCAGTAGTGAAACAAGCCATAGTCTCCATAACATCGACATCAACATTATTTTTTGCCTTCTCGTCTAATGTTGGTATCATATTTGGAATGACTAGTTTCATAGTATCGTACATTATTTTTATTTTTGCGGATGTGAAAACGTTGGTGAATTTGACCTGAAACGAATAATATACTGCGTGTTAACTTTATTGAAGTGCGACCTCGATTTTCATCTCAGATATTATACAGTGGCATAACTTCATATCCAACATGAAAATTGAAGGAATGCTAGAGAAAATTCACAGGGTGAAATAGATTGATAGAAATCAACTCTTACTTAGGTCCGAAAAATGTTGAAACTGATCTTATTATTTTTCATACAGGTTCGAATCATAGTGACGGTGATGCAATATTCCTTCGAATATATACAGAGAATACAGAAATATGTATATATATTTTTTAAATGGAATGTGATGTATATTTTGAAAGATATGAATCCCTCATATCATATATTTTGAAGCAGAATGAATTGATGAGTAAAAATCTATGGTGCATTCCATCAAAAAAAAAATCTTTGAACCCTGTCTAGTTGGAGAGATATGGCATCATTGTCAATATGAGTGAAATCTGTATGGACAATTGTATAAAATCAGCTTTGAACTTTTTTCAATGAGTGGAAAACAAAAAATATACAGGGGTGTTCACATTATAAAAACTACCTCTGTACATCAATGTTTGTGTGATAAATACTTTTTCAGTAAAAATTGAGATACAAGGTATTGCTTCTTGAGCTTCGATATGTTGGGAAGAGAAAATTCCAATTAGTAATGACAGATATACCTACTTATTCATTAATTTCTCATTTTCATGTTAGCTTAAATGCAGTATTCGAAAAAATATTGTTTTCATCTCGAATTCGAAATGCTTTTGCGTTTCGAATGGTAATTTTTTGCCGAGTTTCGCAAACGTATCATTTCGCATTCTTGATACAAAAATAACTATTCATTTATTGGTACCATATTCTGCTTATTAAAAGAACGTCTCAGCGTGTCTTAATATACTTTTTTCTACAAACGTCAAAAAATGACAAGGTTCGCGCATTGATAACAAATTGCGAAGTGACACTTTTTTTCAGTTCCCTACGTTACCATGATACCTTGCACAAAACAATGCGCGAAGTAAAACAGTGCGCGAAGTACCTACTTCGCGCACTGTTATGTAAAATATATGAGATATTTATATTTCAACTTTATGGTCCTCAATCGAGCAGACATCCAAAAACTCATTTATTTCTGAGTGTTCAACAATGACTTAGTTTTTTCTCTTGGAGCGCACGAAAGGAAATTCCTATTATGTTCGTGGAACATCGTGCGTACCTAGGGAGGATATGGGGAGACCTTTTAAGCCAGTTCAACACTATTGCTTGTATCAAGCCAAGCATATTATCACTTTAGAACTATATTTTTTGACGTTTGTAGAAAAAATTTTGTTTGCAACTCGAACGCGAAATACTTTGGTTCATCTCGACTATTTTTCCAACTCGGCTACGCCTCGTTAAAAAAATCAGATCTCGATCACCAAAGTAGCATTTCGCGCTCTAGATACAAAAATAACTATTTTTTTTCATCGCTCGGAGCGCACGAAAGGGAATCCCTATAATGTTCAAAGAACGCAATGGTCACAAAGAGAGAGAAACTCAAAGTCATTACAATAGATTACAATGTTTCCTTCCTTGAACGCCTCGTGGGGAATAAATGCTGAGAAACGTTTACGTTGGGTCAGGTTCGCACCAGATAGCGGTCAAGAATGCTATCTGGGACAGCCCTGCACTGATGAGAGCCAACAGCTCGAAACCGGTCTGCAGGTACTCACGCATTCCTGATCCACTTAGGCGCAGCTGGCCATTTAGGAAGGAAACACTTGCGATTTTATTCGTTTTGTACCAATTATTGCATAGACTTCAGAAGGATGTGATTCAATATTCTGCATGGCATATAGCCATAGGAAAGTAGTTGTTTTTCACTCGTCATCTACCATTATCGTTCATTTTATGAACTATTGTGATAATGACTTCGAGTTTCTCTGTCTTTGATACCTACTATCATAAAAATAATGAAATATAACAAAAAAATTGCAACAATGAAAAATGCAGAAAGTATGAACATTACCCTCGCATTCCTCCATTCTGTGCCATGCTGTGTAACCATATTCACTGTAAGAGGATCGTTTTCGATCTTATAGAGACCACGGTTCATAAAATGATTGAAGTCCTTGATCATGATGGTTCTCAATATTTCAGGGTCCAAGATTACCAAATGTGGATCAATCCCCACATAAACTCCTGCAACAGATAACCAAATACAGGGTGTTTCCTAAATCAGTAAACAATTCATGTGGTGATTCTTGAGGTGCTTTCATGAAAAAAAGTTTCTATGAATATGATTATTTCCAAGGGAGCTTCGCCCTTTCAGATGTGGCACCCTGAAGACGTATTTTCCTCAATATTTCCAAAAATACCAATGCTAAATCAGAATTTCAACTGAGAATATCAAGATTTCGATCAGGAAAAGAGTGTCGTTCAATTATGGATATTCATCATACAGGACGTTGAAAGAAATTCTGAATTGAGAAAACCTAATCACGAATCTGCGGAAGATCCATGAAAATAACAAGTGTCCATCGTTCAAGTTTGAACTCTTTGTATTGAGAAAGAATATTCTCAGATGAGTTTATATATATATGGAAATACATATGACTTGTTTGTGAGAATTATAATTTCCATATCACTGATTCGAATGATTTTGAAGTTTCAAGATTAGAATTCACACAAGAGTATGCTTCTCCTAGACATTTCAATTTTCATTTCGATACTGAACATATTGGTAAGCTATATTTTTCAGTTATAATACACCATATTATTTTTCCGATTTGAGAGAGAATATCAATTCTCAATCTCAGAAGATTTGAATGTTTCATACTCTCCTTTTGGATGTTCAACAGATATAATTCAATGTGGCAAATAGCCGGAAGAGTAGTTGTGTCCTGTTGAATGTTCAGAATATGTGCATATACATATTTTTATCTGAAGGAGAATACAAATTTTCAACTTCAGAAGATTTTGTTTTCAAATCCTTATCGTGTATGTTCAATAGATATGAAACATGTTTTCATGTTCGTAATTTATCTCAGAATATTCCTTTTCGAAACTAGTTGAATTTGTTAAAACTATCACACTCATCATTTCATGAATAAGACAAATCGTATTATCATTTTCAGTCGTTACGTTGATGAGTTATGCAACTAACGATAACATCATGAAATTTAGACTTCCAAATCGGATACCTAGAAATTATATCATAGTTGGAAGAATAGCGGTTTACTCATGAGTTAAGGTTCATATTGAAAGTGTTCCTGTCAAATGCCGATCGTACAATTTTTTTAATACTGCGATACTTATCCTTTGCCTATCAGGATTTTTGCTAAAGTTTAGTGTTTAGTGTTATATGTATTCTCGATCAAACTACCAATGGAGAAACGGTGTAGGTATAAGTATAGTTTATCCATATTCAATTGGAGCGACTGGAACAGCACGTGTACACAGTTCAAAAAGAGAATCGAAGAGATCGCGCAGTGCGGAAGATTCTCCAATTCACTTTCAATAGACTATACCTATCCAGTATCCAATCAACGGCCGAAATACAAAAACGAAAACAGAATGTTAGATTAGCAACACAAATATTTCAACCAATCAAAAACGTGTAATTTTAAAAATGATTAGAATAATCGAGAAAATCGCCATTTTCTACATCGATCTGCCTCGGCACCTCAAGGACGGTTATTATTCCTCAATATTTTTGGAACCGTTTACACTAATTGAAATTTGGTATACTGCATAATCTTTCTACGCAAAATTTGATTCACACATGAGTACGACCTGATTCATCATAAGTATCAATTTTCTCCTTGGTTTTATATTCCTAATTCTTTTTCAGATTATTCAGATGACGAAGGTATATACTTACAGAAAACCATGTTCACACAAGGCAAAATAATATGAGATTTCAGCAGGCCCAAATACGAGTCAATGCATCATTAGTCAGAAATTCGGAACAAAATACAAAAATTATTAGGGATATCTCATGAAACAATACATAGGTACTTGCTAAATTATAGGGTATATAGAAAACATCTATTTGATATCCGATGTATCTTATCGACGTCCAATTATTGTTCCGGGTGGAAGAAGCTGGACCCGCAAGATATCTTTCAGGGATATTTACAAAATATCTTTCAGGGATGAGCAGACATATTGCCCACTATGCTTATATCGACGACAATAAGATATGTTTCATGTCCATGAGATATAATCATAATTTAAACAAGTTGATTACATTATAGTTTAATTTCACTAGCCCCTAAGGTGGTTTCCGAATGAAAAGGGTTGGTACTAAATTCAAAAACTCACCACCCATTTTCGCCCCTCTTGCTTTGAATTCTTGATAGAAATCATAAGATGGCTTTCCAATTGATTGTCCTTCCGGGAAGAAGGTCGTGTTATTTCCAGTTGGAAACGTTGGCACCAAATAAGGAATATTTTTCCTCTTCCAGTATCCGTATTTGTATTTTACAAATAAAATGGCTACTATGCCCACACTAGCAAACAATATGGCGATTTCTGTCAACATCTTGAAGCCGCGATGAAACAAACTGATCGACATTTTATCACAGCCATATTTATATATGTTCATTGATAACACGTGACGGTGTACTTAGCGAACAATCAGTTCTATCCAACCGTCGTAATCTCAAAAAATTCCTGTACTTGTCCATGACATAGGCACAATAGACTTAGAGGATCAAACTGTGACATAAAGGCATATTATTATGCAAGATCATCACAGGTAGATAGATTATTATCCCGATCCATAGTGAAAAATTTGTGTTTTGTGGGCATATTCAGTGTCATATTCAGGACGCTTGGAGTTGGTTTTGGAGCTCAGATGGGTAGGTGTTCATCCAGAATTGCTAGTCATACAGGGTGTTTAAAAAATAGGTGGCTCCTTTGCAGAATAAGTTGGATTTGACCAGTAGGAAATGTCCGTAATGGCATCTGTTTTCAAGATAGAAGGTGTTGGATAAACAATTTGTATACACATTTTTTATGAATATGCTGAAACTACTGACAACTCTGTAAGTTCGTACCATCAAGAAGTTTTGAACAACATATTTATGAGGTTTGATTTTCATGACAAAATTTTATATGAATTTGAACATCATTCAACACTAAAAATTAACTCCTGGTAAAACTTAATATACCGTGAACCGGTTTCGGAATATTCCGATTTAGAAAAGATGGAGTGTTGCTGCCCAAACAGCACAAAGTTTGAGAACGTTCTTAGAATATTCTCGTGGAACATTTCGATTCTCAAAATGTTCTCACAAGGTGCACTGAACTTTCTGGGAATATTCTACGAAAATGCAAATGTGACTGAAATGTACGTTCCAAGAATGTTCTTTCGATATTTTTCAAAACCGTCTCAGGACATTCTATGAATATTTACAGGGTGTCCCGAAATTAGCCTGCCAAACTTCACCAGCGGCTTTTACTACAAAAAATAGAACTAAGATGTTCAATGAACATGAGGAGAGAAACGTCTCCTGATGGAGCTATGCCCCCCTGAAAGGAGGCTCCTGAAGATGATATTTCTTGAGTATTTCCGAAACTCCATGTGATAAAACAATGCAATTTGGTACAAGAACTAAACTTTCCATGCCCAATGCAGTGAAAATTGAATCATTTGAAAATTTCAATCAGGAGAATATAATACAGGGTGGAACTACATTAAATATTGCTAAAAAATTTTTGTATACTTATTTTTCGACAATTCAATCTCGGATTATAAAATTCCGCACCTCTTTACAAAAAAGGTACTTTCTTTCCGTTATGATCAGAAGTATTATAATCGAGTAAAAGCAATTTGAAAATATTGTTACATCTCAGATATTATGCATAATACAATAGTGGAAATGGAAATAAATGCACAAGAATTGAAGTAGTTTTTTCATCATCATTTTTCTCTTTTTAGCGCTCTTATGAGATTATTTGGTGAAAGGAGAGTACTTGATTTTTTATAGCCACTATGATCTGAAAATTGACTACGTTATGGATGCGGAACAAGAGCACCTTTTTTTTGTGATACGGTGTGGATTTCATAATCCGAGATTAAATTGTCAAAAAACATGCATAGGAAAAACTTTGAGCAATATTTCATGTAGTCCCACCCTGTATTATATACTTCTGGAAGAAACCCTGAAACGATTTTATGATCATCGCATTGGGCATGGAAAGTTTCCATCACGTAGCGTTTCGGAGATGTTCAAGAAATATCATCTTCAGGGAGTCGTAGCTCCCTTTTCTCGACTCATGTTCATTGGAATTGTTCTTCCTATTTTTGGTCGAAGATGCCGCTGGTGAAGTTTGGCAGGCTATTTTCGGGACACCCTGAATATACAGTAAGGTGCAAATGAAAGGAATAAATTCGTTTCTAGCCAAACTGTCTATTTTTGTGAAATTTTCTGGTAAACACGTCGATTTTTATTCTCAATTTCCCACATTATCATAAGTGAAAATTGCATATACAGGATGATCCAAGTGTGAGTTCTGCCGTCCGCGACAATTTTATCTTAAAAAAACATGAAACGCTACATTCAAGAATATATTATACATATGGTTTGTATACAGTGCTTTCGTTAAATTGATTGCACACATGGAGTAGTGGATACATTAATTTTCAGTCGTATTATGCATTTTTAAGGAATCTACTGAAACACGTCGTGTTTTATTTTGAATATTCCACAATTATAAGTGAAAATTGAATTTTTGGAGCTCTATGAAAAGCTACATTCAAAAATATATTATAAATATAATATATTATACATATCATAGATTACATATGGTTTGTATACACTGCTTTCGTTAAATAAAGTTTGAATTCTGACGTCCGCGACAATTTTATCAAAAAAACACCCTATATATTACTGATTTCTTGGAATATTCATGAAAAGCTACATTCAAGAGTATATTATGCATATGGTTTGTATACAGTGTTTTCGTTAAATAGAGTGCGCGCACGTGGAGTAGTGAAACAAGTCGATTTTTTATTTTGAATATTCCACAATTATAAGTGAAAATTGAATATACAGGGTGATCCAAGTTTGAGTTTTGACGTCCGTGACAATTTTATCAAAAAAAACACCCCATATATTATTGAATTTTTGGAGCTCCATGAAAAGCTACATTCAAAAATATATTTGGAGTAGTGGATACATTAATTTTTAGCCGTATCATGCATTTTTGAGGAATCTACTGAAACACGTCGATTTTTATTTTAAATTTCTCACATTTATAAGTGGAATTTGAATATAGAGGGTGATCCACGTTTGACTTAAGACGTCCACGACATTTTTTTCAAACGGAACACACCCTGAATATTATTTGAATCTCATTAAGAGAATTAAATCACATATGGGGTTTTTATACACAGCGTCCATTGAATTCAGTGCTCGATTATCACTTCGACACACGCCCTGATAAAAAGTTTTTTTCATTAATATGAAATTCCATGAAACTCAGAGTTGTATTGAAAAAGGAATATTCTCAGATGAAATTATGATCATAAAAGAGGGACAGGTGACAGGTCGATTCTTATTCAAGGGGGATACTTGAAATACATATTTTCAGCCCTCTTGGTGCAAACCCCTAGGAGGGGTAGATGTTACCCATAGAATCTCAAATTGGAAAAGGGGTCAAGTGGCATATCATTCTGAAGGACGTTCAATTCTCTTTCCAACGGTACTCTAGTTTATCATTTTCTGTTGAGCAGTTTCAGGAAAATACCGTGTCAATCAGAAAACTTCCCACCCTTATCATATCTTCCTTCTAGTGAATAAAATGAAAAATCGAAAAGATAGTAATGACATTCGATCGATTACGTCGCGGTCTCATTTTGACAAGTATTCATAAAGGTGACAGTTTTTTACATTGTAAAAGTTTCTTCAATCAATACCCAGCGAGCACAAAAACATCTCAGAGATGTTAAAAGTACGAGATTTCGAGACATTGAACCTCCACTGCGATGTTCTGTTCACACATGAATATAACTATTATAAAACAGCCAATGTCCGCCGCAGGCGGCAATTATCAAGATGTCCTTGAAATGTCTCACTACTACAAAACTACCTTCTCCTTAGTTCTTTTTGAAGCCTTTTCATGGACACAACAAAACATTTTCAACGCGTCTTGCGCACATTAAATCGCTGTAAAAAAACATTTTCGAGGTACTTTTCTGAAACCTTTTGTCAAAATGAAATAGATTGAACATGAAAATATTTTCTTGATATAGGTTTCCCAATTTTTGAAATGTTCTCCACAATGCATAATTTTGCAATATATATTATATTGATTACACTGAGGCACCGAACAACACATCTTGCATCTGATGGTCATTATTACAAACTAAATAAGTCTTCTAACACAATAAACTTCACCAAATTCTTTTCTGTTCGCCATCAGCGTGATGTAAGCGAACAAGAAGAACAAAATCGAAAACAAATCAGAATTCATCGTATTGTGACGTAAGCATGAGACGTTGTGGTGGGGCAAACAAAGAAAGGGCACAAAAGAACAAAAACAATACTTTCAATATCCTTCTAAGACCTCTTTGGGAAGTGCATATTACGCCTCAAAAAAACATCCTCATGCCTACATTTCTGAAACATCCCAAAAAATCCCAGGGATACCTATCAGTAGGCAAACAAAGAAATGCCACAGAAGAACAAAAACAATACTTGAATATCCTCCAAAGACCTCTTTGGTCAGTGCATATTACGTCTCAAAATAACATCTTCATGCCAACATTTTCAAAACATCCCAAAACATCCCAGGGAGGTTTGTGCTCGCTGGGTAAGGAGAAAATGAAATGTTAAAACCCTATAGTTAGAAAGTTAAGAGGCTTAGAGAATATGTTCATATGAACTTTTCTTCTCAAAATGAGCTAAGGAACCATATCCTATATTTTCAGCCATCAATTGAATTACACCCTGTGTATACATATAGTGGAAGGAAGGGAAGTCGTTGCTGACACGTTAGAGATAAAATTAGCTTGCTAGTGGGGATTGCAGAAAAGTAAAAGTGAACTCATCGCAGTTTGTGCGAGCTTTCAGAAATGTTTATTTCCATAATCAGGGCTACTACAATAGAAATTAAAAAGTGTACGCATTGACCATGATATTGAGACATGATCAAATGGTACTCTTCTATCTCCACGGCCACCTACTTGGCCCTCCTCTTTCAATCCACCGATCTGGAAAGGTTCTGTTGAGATGTTCCCTGACTTGTAATGAATAATGTGCTGGGGCTGCATCATGGTAGATTTTCACATAAGTTTGGCAATTGGTTTTGCAAATTCCCGTCTAAAAAGTTCACCAATAATAATTCCTCCCCACACATTAATTGACCATCTGTGTTGTCTATCAATCTGCTTGAAAGCCTTTGGATTGTGATCGAAGGAATAATGGAAGTTGTGACGATTCACAAATCCATTCTTATGGAAGATGGCCCCATCAGAAAACAAAACCTTCGAGATTTACTACAATTTTACCTTGCGTCCTGTTGCAAAATTCGACACGTTTTTCACAATCTTGTTCAAAGAGTTCTTGATGAAACTGAATATAATAGTCATATCTTCAAACGGTTGTCTTTTAAAATTCGTTGAACAGTTCTTTCGCTCACGTCCAGGGCATCTGCCATTGCTTGCTGGCTCATGGAAGGTAC